CATTGACTGCTGGGATGACAGTACCTGACCAGCTACTTCCATATTGGGGCTTCAGCTGTTCTCCCCTGATAAGTTGTGTTAAATCGAATATGACACTTGGTTCCCTGGAAATTTCAAGAGAAAATGATGAAAAAAGCATGCAAAAATACTTTTTCTTTTTTAATCTTATAACAGCTATTGTATATCCTCAGGAATGTTCTCTGCCAAGAGTCCTTTCTTTGCTGCCCTGTAGTGCCTTTGAATGTAGGTGAAGCCTTTGACTAGAGGTACTCTATAAAAGTCAATTTGTACTCTGCTGTTACCCATGCAAAACTGTTGCCCAGGTTCTCCTCTCCCATACAAGTCTCCTATGCATTTTACATCTGCCTTTCTCTGGTGAGTTCTCATTTTCACCAGTGGAGTCTGGCATGTGGGATGTGCCAGCCGGTTCATGGGGTGCCAAACATTTTCATTCTCCTCATGCTGTCGTTGCTGTCAAAGCACAAAGCTCCTGAAAAGGAAAGAGAAGATTTCCAGTGGCTCTGTGCGGCTTTTCTCCCTCATACTTTCCTTCTGGGCTTATTGATGTGCCTTAGAAGATTTCTCGTCCATCCTGTAGCACCAGAAGTTAACCTGCAGTCCCCAGCATGTGTTAAGGTTGCTAGGCTGCTGTTTCATTCCCCTGGTTATGTAGTTATTTGCTGATAGTTTGATTACTTGACTTCACTGAGCTGAAAATACAAATATTGCTGAGGGTAAAAGCCATTATAAACATCCCCATTTTCTCTTAAAAAACAATTTTTGCAATCATTTTCATTTGGAGTTCAAAATGTTATTTAAATGTTAATCACTTGAAACTGTGCTTGGGCATATAATTCAATTACAGGACCATCTTAATTATGCAGATGGTGCTTATGAGCAGCTGATACAATTACAGTGCCAATTCAGCACACATTCGTTCAAAGGGCTTAGCTGAAACACATTATTATTTCAATGTGTGTGGACAAATGCACTGTTTCAGGAAATGGGCTCATGGAATTGCGATCCTGCTCTGCTCATTGCTCTCAGTGACGTGTAAACCACAAGGTCTTTAACCATTTGCCTGTGTTCTGTGGTGGTCCTAGGCTTGCAAGAGATTTCTTTATGTTCTTAACATAGCCAGAGGGATGGAAATGGAGACTTGAGTTCATAATCCATCATCCCTCTGGGCAGCAGGCAATTTTACTTCAACTTGAATTTTTAACCTCCTTTTGAATGCTGCACCACATCTGGAGGCCGTGTGTAAATCTCAGCCAATTAAGCTGATAACAAAATAGGGAAAGCAGTGGAATTTACTTTCACCGTGAATTGGTGCAAAATGTAATGCTTGCTAAAATAAGACTCAGCTTTTAATATTGTCTCTTCTTTGGCAGGAGCCCAATAAAAAGGAACCCTTAGTCTGTTTTACAGCATGGTTCAGTGTTTAAGGAAGGTCAGTGTTTCTGCTTCCTAGAAGAGGTTTTTCTCATATGCCTCTGTGTTAGTTTAAAAACATTTTCTTAGAGCCACTTTTAACTCCCTGTGAGGCCAGCCTTGTGTATCTGATTAATAATTAGATGCCACTGGGGAGGCTGTGATAGTGAAGAAAGGTTAAGCAAAGAATTGGGATTTATACAGGGGAATAGTCATAGAGGGGATACTTTAAAATAACAGAGAGATTTGGAAGGAACATAAACCTTAATGCTTCTGGCCAAAAGTCATCCTGTAACTCCCAGGAAGTAGGAGGGAAAATACTTCAGGGATTATTTATTCAGCTTCCTCTCAGTTTTTTACTCTCTCCCTGCCCCCGCCCCCTTCCCTTTTCTTGCTAATTTTGGTCAGAAATAGGACATTGATCTACGTCACGATTCAGTGACTATGGCCATGTCCATGTTACTATTGAGCACACTATCTGTCCTCTCTAGATTTAGGGACTGCGTGTATAGTGCATAGAAGATACACAGAATGGATGTTGTCACCTCAGAAAACTGTGTAGGATCTGAATTCCCACTTCTAAACAGCCTGTACACTAAAGAGCTTGCAACTTTCCTGTTCAGGTTGCTTTCTCTGATGCTTAAAGTAGAGAGTGTGCCTCTGTACTTGTGGCTATTATAGGATCAGCTTCTCTCATATTTGGTATTTGGCTCCTAGAGAAATGTCACAGATAACGCCATGAACCCAGTCATTGAAAATTCATGCCAGGGAAACTTGCCACAATGTAAATTCTGATTTGCAGCATTGGGTTTATTCATATTTTATTGAAACTAATCAGAGAATGGCTTCGAGACCCATATATTCCCTGTGGCTCTAGGTCAGCTTTGCTCTGAGGGTTTATTGAGTGGGATCAGTGATGGTTAGACTTCTAGCCCTGCAAGTGAATAGTATCTGCACAGCACAGCTCTGCTGTGTGAGCACTTCTTAAGCATCACAGAAAGACATACTGGTTGTCCACTTATACAAATACAACTGTAGTTCAGTTGTAAGTTATCCATTACTGAGATTATTTTCATGTTTGCTTTAGGCTTTGTCACAAATATTGCTTGCAGCATGAAATATTACTGTCATATTAGAAAAAAAAATAGTATCTAGCAAAATAAATGGAAGCATATACTTGCTTTCAGTTTTCTTCCTGTATAACTTAGGTACCAGGCATCTGTCATGGAACCAATCTATGCTGATGTGCAATGCATTAAGACCATGTGAGACTAGTGCACAAGGGCAGGGGATAGAAACCAAAGGGTTTGTAATGCCAGAGTGCATGCCAGGGAATAAAACTCAGTAGCTGATTTTGCCTTCTGTTAACATGTGAACCTGTTTTTTATGGAATAAATAAAGTCCAAGCTTGAAAGAGAAATGTATAATGCACAAGAACTGAGAGAGAATGAAGACTGCTTTGTCTCAGATGTATGAATGGCAATAAGAAACAAGTAGCAAGAGAAGACATTGATGTTTGCTGTTGGAGCAGAATCTCAGATGTCAAATGCATGGGAGGAACTGTTTCTGTAGCCTAATATGAAAATTATCCTCTTACTTCTGGTGAATTAGGTGTCACGTAATTATCAGTCACCAAAATACAGATTGCAGACGGGTCAATCCTAGCTCTGCTTATGATTTCATAAAATTATTTTAGCTGTTAGTTCATGCAAAAAGGTAATTTCATTTATCCATCATTGCCTTCTTTGGGACTTTCTCTTATCTAAGGTCAAACTTTGTTTTCAACACCATATAAAGAAGAAAATACAGGTAAATTGGTATTGACTTTCCTGTAGGCTAAAAGGTGAGTTGTGCTCTGATACCCTCTTGTTCCAAAGCACTACATTCCTGTTCTCCTTGGGAAAAGGGCTTTACTCAACTACTCCATCTTCTATGTATCACAATTGCGGTAGCCATTTACCCCAGTAACAGGGCTCTGCCAAAACGGCAGTAGGAGCAGGGAACTGCAGTGAAGGTACAATGGTGCAAAGGTTTCAGCAGTGCAAAGGCAGGATGCTGTGCAGAGGAAGCACCTTCTGGAGCAAAGGAAAAGCAGCTAACTAGCATGCATTTCTTCCCTGAGAGGTTGCCCTGTTGTCTACAATGGTGTATGTGCAGTTTGTTGGAAGCTCCCTGTGCTGTTAGAGGTGTGTTCAAGATGATATATTTGTTTGCTGAGGAATAGAAGAGGTCTTTTCCTTTTTGCCCAGAAAGACATTATTCTTCTGATTGAGTATTAGTGTGGTGCTCATAGAGTGCCACAGTGTTGTAATATTAACCTCTTCAAACTCATTGACTTAAGTAGCAAGAATTTTATGACCAAGAGAACTGAGTTAACATCCTATATTGTTTGCAGTGTACCATTTTTGTCAGGCTGATAGTAGTCCAAGATGTGGGGTTTGGCTTTTGTGAGAAGAATAGGTCATTTCCTGACTATCTTCTAAGTGTGAAATGCTACATATGCAGATGACAGTGGCAGTCTTAAGTGGTTTTTTTTGTTTGAGTGTCTTCGAGGGAGCTTCAGTTTCTTGGGACTATATCTACCTGTTATGTGTGACAGAACTCTAGCTGAACAAGCTAAGAGAACTTGCACAAGTACCGTCCAAGATTTTATGACTGAACTGATTAGTTCTGGCAACTGGCTGCTGTTTAGAAGTGCAAAATAAGATAAGGATGTAAATTGCCTTTGTGTTGCTCCACAGGAATCTGGTGTAACTGGAATGGGGTAGGTTCATAGATTAGTAGGACACTGGAGGTTGGAAGGAACCTCAGGTGATCACTAGCAATGAGACTGGAGAACCAGAGCCACCTTATTAGGTCAGAGAAGGTTACTCAGGGCTTTATTCAGCATCATCTTGAAACCCTTCAACGACGAAGACTGTACAACTCCTCTGAGCAACCTGGTGCATGGCTTGGCTACCCTTAGTTATGAAGTGACCTTGCCTATCAGTAAGTTTTAGTCCAGACCCTACACTTCTCTCTTGTCTCTGAGGAGAATCAGGTTTTCCTTCCTTCCATGATTAAATTATCCCCACATTGCTTATCAAAAAAGGACAAAATTCCAGGATTTCACATAAACTTAAGACAGATGCTGGTAGAGAAAACTGGAATAAAAAAGGATACTTCTCGCTGCGGACTTGGTGTATGAGAGTGTGCATAGAATTGCAGGGTGGGGAGTACTTGCAGTTTCTGTGTTTATCAAGCTGAAGATACACAGCTGAAGGCACCTTCAGGTATTTATGTAGAATTTTGAACAACCAGGGGGGGCGGGCATTAAAAAAAGACATGTTCTAAGTATTTTAAGGTACCCAGCACTGTTACATGTGTGTATATTCCCCAGCTGTGAGAGTACTAATGTTGACTGTGGGGTTTTCACATTTTAAATGTAACAGGCAAGTGAAGACCTTTAAATGTGGGTTGGCTTTGGTGACTGGGTTAATATTTTTTTTAGATTTAACCTCACAGTTCAGTCTTATCTTTATTTGATTATTTCAAGATTAATGAATTATAAACCTTTCCTCTGTTTTCAGCCTTCTCAATGCCAATAAGATCAACTGCCTGAGGGTAAACACGTTTCAAGGTCTGCATAATCTCAAGCTGCTATCTCTTTATGACAACAAACTGCAGACCATCAGCAAGGGGCTCTTTGCACCTCTCCGATCGATCCAGACTCTGTGAGTATGCAGGCGTAGCATAAATGACAGCCCTCTCTTTCTCTCCCAAAGCTGTTGCCTGTCTTTGGGAAGGCTTTTTCACAAAAATCTGTGAAGGCAATTGGAAGAGACCCCAAAGATAGCAGCCCCTCCTTTCCTGACAGAAATAAAAGGCACAAGAAAACAAAGTATTGCATAAATTCAGCACAGCCAGCTATCAATGCAGCCTGCCAATAGTGACATGAATGTCATAAGTGTTTTAAGCTCCCAGAATAATTCAGTCATCCTGTTAGTAAGGAAGATAATATGCAAATTTGAGTCTGTACAATATATGAACAGCAGATTAAAACCATTGCCTAACAGTTTTTAATGGGCTAATGAGTTGGCATCTCTCCTTACTGGGTCTGCATCCTGCTGTATAGTTCCTGACTTCTGAAACCATATTTCAGCTGACATTCCACTTAAGGAATGGGACCCATTCTATTATTTGGTCCATTAAGAAAATCCACAAAACATTTTCTTAGTCTTTGAATTGGAGGCATTAGAAGAGGGATCAGAAGCAAAAGTATAGAAATTACTCTATTTTACAAAAGGAGGTTTCATCCTAAAGCTGTAAGTAGTAAGAGATTAAGGTAACTAATACTCCTTAACAGCTGGAGTTGACAGCCTGATATATATGAAAACCAAGGAAGAACCCCCTCACCCAGTATTATGTATGTGCATGTATATATTTGTGTGTACTCTGTGTGTAGTATGTAAGTATGTACATTTCCAGTATTAAAATATATATGTGTATGTATATGTAGACACACAATAATGGAATATATATTCACATTATATATGTATATACATACACATACTATAGTACTGGAAATGTACTCAGAGAATCATAGAATGGATTGGGTTAGAAAGAACCTTAAGATCATCTAGTTCCAGCCCCCCTGCATGTATATATTTTAATACTGGAAATGCATTGGCCAAATTAGTTTTAGAAATGTATTACTTTGTGTAAAACTGAACTAAGAGGGGTGATTTCTAGCAGCAGGTATCTGCTACCTCCCCTGGCAGCCACAAGCACAGCCTCAATTTCCAGCAAGTATCTGGCCAGTCTGTATTCCTGCAAGCCATTCAGGCATTTGGATAATCATGTACAATCCCCCAGTTATGCCTCCCATCTCTACCATGCTTTCTGCTGCTGCAACATGCTGTGTATGTACATAGATGTATACATTATCAAGGGTGACAGAGAAGGTTCATTTACAGGTATGTAAGATTTGTCAATCTTGTGAGGCAAAACCCTTAAGGTTTAAAAATTCCTCCTTGTTCCATGGGGTTTTCTTGGCACTTCTGTGGCCAGTACATAGAATGGACTTGTTGCTTCGCAGCAAGACACTTTTTCGTGAAATATTTTTATTCATTCTCCCATGTCTAGTACTCCAAGTGATTGCTATCTTCTGCCTTTTTTATAGAGCTACAGACCAATCCCATATCCTGTCTCTATGTACTGGTTTGTTCTTTGGACCTTTCACACCAGGAAAGGCTCTACTACAACAGTAATCTTTAATATCTTTAGGCACTTTCTGCTATGCTTTCACTTCCCACTCCTTGAAATCCTGTTGTATTCTGTACTTAACTCTGTTAAGTGACAGTTCGTAAATATAACTGCAAACAGGAAAGAAAAGAAGTTGCTTCAGGTGGAAAAAATACACTAGCAGTAACAGAGCAGAGCTCTTGTGAGGCTACAGCTTTACACCTCTGTCCAAACTAAATTGAAACATCTGTCTTATTTAAAACTGCCTTTGCAGGGAGTCATGCCCTGATTCCTTGGAAGTTAGAGGGACTGCTGCAAGCCAGCTTAACTGAGATCAAAACCAGTCTCTGAGAAAGACCTGGCAAACTCTCCCAATACAGTGCTCAACTTTGTCAAGCAGCAGAGAAGTGCTGTTTCTCTGAGATTTCTATTAACAAAGTCTAAATATCCAGTTAGAATCAATGTTACAATGCCTATTTCCAATTGTGTGGGAAATATGTTGTGCAAAGGATAGAGTTAAGTTATATCTTGCATAAACAGTTCAGTCTCAAAAGTAAAATGTTTTTGCTCCAGGAAAAAACGCATATAAGGGGAATATTATTGCACAGGATGAGTATATGCAAATATCTTTTTTACTCTTGAGGGAAGACTTGTGGATCTCTTCTGGCTTTGCCCACAGAGCCAAGATTCACTAATCGCGTTTGGATCCCTAGGAAACTGAGCTTGCCAATAAAATTTCTTTTAAGCCAGGATGCAAAATGGTCTTCAGGTCAGGTGCATCAGAAAAGGTGCATTTCCCTCAAAGGCAGCATTTCAGGCTGTCAGGAGAAAACACAGGACTTGGTGTCCTTTAAAGCAGGTTATGCTATCTTAATTTTTGTTTTCCCTGCGAAAGGACTTGCAGCAGGCTTAATGAGCTCCGAAATGGGAGAGCTGACAGGATTCTCCCATTCATGTGCGGCGCTGCGTGGTTTCCGCCAGGCCTGGGGTTTGGGGGAAGCTTATTCAATTACTCTACTCTTCAGTTTCGCGTGTGTGAAAAACATTGATGGAGCACAGTGTCACAGGTCACTTCTGATTAAACATCCCATCCTTCTTGCAGACATTTAGCTCAGAATCCATTTGTGTGTGACTGCCATTTGAAGTGGCTGGCTGATTACCTGCAGGATAATCCGATAGAGACCAGCGGCGCTCGGTGCAGCAATCCACGTCGCCTTGCCAACAAGCGAATCAGCCAGATCAAGAGCAAGAAGTTCCGCTGCTCAGGTAATTCATTTATCCAGGCTGTACTGCACTTTCAATTCAGAAATAAGCAGGTCCAGAGAGCTTGCTAATTGAATCTGCAGGACAGTGTTTGCTATAATGGATATTAGGGAGCATCTTTGAAAATTAAATTTGGAAAATTCAGTTAGTTCTCCAGAAAACCAATTACCTTATGGATTAAAAAGGAAAAAAAAAAAGAAAAGAAAAGGACAAAAGGGAGCAGTCTATAGCTGTCTTCTTGTGTCTCTTACAAACAAAGAAAAGAGAAATTCTCGTGACATTTAATTTTAAAGAATTACTAGGTTATAAAATGTCTAAGGAAAACAAGGAAGATGTATATAAATCCATATGGCAAATGTCATATTTTGAAGGGGTGGAAGGTGAATGGATTGTCACTTGTATTCAGGGAGAACTCTTATTGACCTTATTGAGAACTGAGCTTAAGTAAAAAAGGCTGAAAACAGTATGAGTAAGACTTTTATACCACTGGCAAAGGGCATTTCTGACCTAGGATGCAAGGGAAGCTGGGGGTAAAGTTTGGAGGTTTTATATCCACAAGTAGCATGCACTAATTCAGTAAAACTGCCATCAAAGTTGGTAAGATTTGGGGGTTTAATAAGTTTTGAATCAAAACTTGCATCATAGTTTAGGCAAAGATTTTGTCTTGTGTGTGAGCTAGATGGAAAAAAATGTTTCCACCTGAAAATAACCTCTGAAGTAACATAAACACCTTCTTCTCAAGCCTATCCATATTTTATTTATGGCCCAGCTATCACTAAAATGACATTTATTGCCTTACACAGCACAACAGGGCAGACTGCGGCTTCTTGTGTTTTTTCTATTGGTTGTATGTATTTTAGCTTACTGCATTTTGTATACTGGAAAGACAAGCAGGTTTCAGTGAGCAAATCTATTAGTGTGTACTGAGAAGAAAAATGACTGTTATTGATGGACTGCTGGCAATGTTTTCTATGAAAATTACTGTGATTTCTGTCTTTTTCCCCTGAAAAGAAAAAAAAAAACCAAAACACAAAACAACCAACTATGATTAATTGTGTTCTGGTAGTAAAAGATTAATGACTCTAGATGGGGTTGCAGCATGAAGCTGAATGGCAGCAGCCCAAAACAAGCCGTTGTGCTTTGTGTATCTCTGCAAGCAATATGCTGAGCTAAACCTTCTCTTTATGGAGAAAATAAAATAAAGATAACTTCATTTGCAGTCAGGTTTACCAGGGCATGAATGTTAAAGTCTTCAGTCACTTGTGACTCAAGCCACAAAATTTGTAACCAGAACTGAAATTAGAACATATTTTTATCGAGATTTTTGGATGGTGTCCATCATAGGAACAAGATAATTAGTAATAGCATATTTAAAGAAACTGGAAATTCAAATGCATAAATATCATTTAGAAAGGAAAATAGACTGCAGAAACAGAGCAGCGTAAATCTGCACCCAATTTGCAATTGTTATTTTCTCCTGCTTTTATTAATAGGGTATAGAAATTAATGTTATGTATGTGCAGGCATGCCTTGAACAACAGTACAGGCTATTGGATAAGGCAAACACCACCTGATACCATTTATGAAAGGTCATAACTAAGAAGAGTAAGAATGCAGAACACAGTACCTGGTGATGTTGAGAATAATATTGTGTGTGAGTTCTTATCTTGGGGGTCCTTTCCTTGAGGCATTAGGCTGTTTTTTCCTTGGTCTCCAGTTCTATGAGTATATCAAAACCACATGGAAAAGGCATAAACTTGACTTATGAAGGAGGAGAGCAGGGATTGTACAGCTTCAGAACAAAGATTTCAGCTGGATGAAAACTAATTCTATTCAAAAGCTCAATAGAGAAGATATCCTTGCCTGTAGAGTTTCCAGATGGCAATGAGATACGTTGAACTCGACTCACTGTTTGCTCACATGAGACAGAGGGAACATCTAATAGTTTAGAAGAATCTTAGTTTGTAAATCAATCCAGAGAACAGACATCCTTGGCACCTGCTCTGCTCAAGTTGTCCCTTTGAATCATGGCTGATTCAGACTTGGCATTTAGCAGGAATTTTCCATGTTTTCATTTTGAGGAATATGTTTCATCCCAGGATTTAACACAGCACGTCTCTGTGCAGAAAAGGCCATGAGGTATGAATATTCATCATTCAAAGTCAGACTTTTGAGCAGTGCTTTATGTTATCCAGGGATGAGCCTGCACAATCCCACTGGGATGGCAATGCTTAGTAACTTTTCAGTGTCCTTGCTGGTTGTTGGATTCTGTCAAGTTTTTACATCGTATGCTCAGTGTATGAGAAAAGAATTTTTATTTTAAATCGTTCTGTAAATGTGCATCTCTTTTCTCAAAAGGTTCTTGTTTCAGGATCCTGTTCTTTTCCTGTAGTTTGTTTAATACATTTAGAACAGCAGTCAGAGAGAGGTGTGGGGTTGGAACTCAGTGAATATGAGGGGTTGGTTAAGGAAGCAGTGCGAAGGATTTTATGCTGACCTCATCTTTGACCTCAGGAAAGTGGTGAGGATGCACAGAAAGTGTCAGCTCTGTGGGAGTAGAGTTACTCAGCCAGCATCAGGATCACACACAAGAGTAGTTCAACTTAGGTGAGCTTAATGCTTTGGAATCAGGAAAAGGGCCAATTCTGAAGTTGTAGAATTCTGAGGTTGTCCTGAAGCAATCTGTGTGTTTTCCACATTCATTGGGATTCTACAATGGATCATAAAGGGGACTGTCAGTAAGGACCTGGCATGAGAAAAGATCTGGTTATTCAGTATATTAGCAGAAGAAAGAGAAGTAGCAGGAGGATGGGAAAGAGGACTGGTTAGCAGGAAT